CCGTGGCTTTGGCGATCGTGGCGGCCGTGGCTTTGGTGATCGTGGCGGCCGTGGCTTCGGGCGTCCCACCCCAAATCTCGATAACAACCGTGCGAGTACCAAGTTTGAGGACAGCGATTAGGCAATAAAATAAAGGGACAAATCCCGTGATCGTAACTAACTGAGTAGTAAAGTCTAACTGTAGGAAACCAGCAATAAAATTTTTCGGAACTGGGGGTGATAAGTGTAATTTTACGTGACGCGGCCGAAGCACGCTTTATTGTCACCAGTAACTTTTTTTTTCGACACATTGCTAATTGTTGTGTATGTTCCTCTTTTATTAGTCCTTATGTTTTTCTTCTTATTTTTCTGCCCCTCAGTGTAGTGACGATCAAGAAACTTATAGCTCCGATGGCGTGTCGGCGTGGATAACCTTATCCCTTCTTCTGGATTGGTCGATCCCAATCGTTATCGAGTGGGTGTCCCTTTGCAGGCCGTTGACTTTCTCCAATGATGCAGGGTACTTGGGAGTGATGCTAGGGCTGTGCAGCTGAAATTCCCAGGGGAACTGGAATAGGATATATTTAATGTTCATCGTATAAATGTGACTCCTCACCCGTTGTGTTGGGCGATGGCTGTGGATGAACGAGCTTCTTGAGTCGAGGGATACGGGAGGAAGCAAGGGTGTGAGGTGGTGCCTTGTCATCTTCAAGGTGAAGTAGGTGTCTGAGATGCAACGTACAGAAATGGGATGGCGAGTTCATGCTTTGATGCTCTCTGAATCGGATTAGGGGATGGAGAGAGGCTGCGAGCGGCACCGAAAGGCCACATGCATCTATTTCTCTCTCTTTTTGTGTTTCTGTGTGTATGTCTGTAGAGGAAGCCTTTCTCAGCTTGGTAGAAATTAAACAAATGGCGTGAGCACAGCAATCGCCTACTTCGACGTGTTTCCGAAATTATTTTTTACATATATTTCACTCGAGAGGGTGTAGCTCGGTTGGAATATAGCCTGTGAAGCATTTGGAGTGTAACGCGCACCCAACTCCATGGCGGAAATGGGTTGCACTTGTCAGGACAGAAGTTTTTTTCTTGGTGAAGCTTTTCTTGGCAATGTGCTTTCACTGAAGGATTGTTGTTGGTTTATCTCGTCGTTCCTCAACTGGTTGTTGTTGTTTTTTTATTCTTCGTCTTCACTCTTTCGTGTTTTGGATTTCTCCCACTTCTTTTCTTTTTGTCTGTTTTGCTTTTTCTTGCAGGCATATATATTGCCACCTGCGGCTTCCATGAGGAGCAGGTCTGGATCGTGCATGAAAGGCCACCCCGAGACGTCGCAAGGGGCGGCGGGCGTGGACGGTGATCCCTGCGACATCTCGGGCGCGGGCTGGGCGAGTCTTGAAAGCAGGTTCAATGAGCTACTCCACCTGATGGACGCCCCCTCCAACGGCATCAATGCGCTGGCGGCCCGTTCTGCGCATGGAGATCGTGTGGCAACAGTCATTGCCCAGCTGCTGGATCGGGCCCAAGATGAGAGTCGTAGACTGTTGGTGGAGGGAAACGGCGAGGCGGCAGCTGAGGCAGGTGTGAAAACGTTGCGGCTAAAGGAAAGGTTTTACGGGAAAACGAGTGTCAAGCTTGTGCCGGCCTACTTCCACCTAGCACGCACCAATCAGTTTTTAGGACGCTATGGAAATGCAGAGGAGATGTTGTCCCTTGCTCATTTCATTATTCTTAACCACCCGGGGGAGGTTGACACGGCGATGAAGGCAGAACTTCATCAGACATTTGGACTACTGTACGCTGCTGATAATAAAATTGAAGCCGCTATACAGCATCTGACAGCCGCCACGTACTATCTGAGTGTACTGAATGGACCAGAGGACGTCTTGACGGCCTTTGGTTATTTTGATCTGGCCAATGTGTTTGCGACCAAGGCCAGTATGGAGGCGGCTATGGCACTCTACGACACGGTGAAGAACATTTGGCTAAAATACCTGCGGCATCACCTCAAGGACATTGTAGAGGAGGCACTAGCAGCAAAGGCCGTCAAGCGGTACGAAGATGATGAGGTGGTGCAGGACACGGGTTACGCCTCCGCGAAGGCCTTTGGAAAGGAAAATTTGGCCGATGTCTCTAAGATGTTGCATGCCATTTACAAAATTCAGAGAGAGCGCTTTACCACTTCACACCCGACGACGGCACGAGCACAGTTTGTGCTTGGCTTATTTCTCCTTTGGGTGAGTAAAAAGGAGGAGGCGGGGCGGCATCTACGAACAGCGCGGGTGACGACGCAACGTTTCCACGGTGAGCGGCATCCAGTAGTACAGGAAATAGAGGAGTGGTGCGAGTGGTTCGAAATACCTCTGAAGTAAGGCAAACACAGAGGAGCGTAAGTGGGCAGTAATGTCTTATGCACTCCTTCTCTTGTATGTAAATACGATGCCTGCGAAGAAAAAGAGAACGATGAGGAGGGGGAAAAAATAATATGTTGACTCCTATTTTTCTGTATTTTCCTTCTTGTATGTGAAATGTCCTTCATTTTATTATTATTTCTTCTTCTTGCCGACGGGGTACTCTTTTCACCGGTGCCTGCCTACATACCTTGCGATGTTCTCTTGTGTTTGGGGTACGAAAGAATACCCTGGCTTATCTCCGCCGCACCTCCTGGGATTTTTTTTTTGTGCCGTGAAGTCCAAAAGGAGGATGTCCGAAGAGTACACGGCGGAAGACGTGTTCTACGAGATCTCCACAATACGGGACCCGGAGAAGCGGGGTTGCACACTGGCGGAACTGGGGGTTGTGGCACCTGAACGCTGCAGCGTCGCTTACGGCAAGTACTACGGCAACTCCTTTGTTGATGGCTCAGAAGCTATGCGTGGCGCCCGTGCCTCGAACCAAATAGCCGTGGTGAGGGTTGTGTTGAAACCAACCGTGATTCATTGCAGTCTCATGGCAATTATTTGCCTTTGTGTTTACGCTAGGTTGAAGGAAACCCTCCCGGCATGGATGTGCGATTCGAAAATTGACATTAGTTTAGTTGATGGTTCACACCTGCAGCAGCGTGAACTGGAGAAGCAGATATCGGACAAAGAACGGGTGGCAGCGGCGCTGGAGAACGAGGCGTTGAGAACGGAGATGGACAGACTCATGAATGCGGATTCAGAATGAGTAGCTGAGAAGGCCGTGGCGTTTGGCGCGTTTTTTTTTCTTCTTTTACTCCGGTCACGGAGAACTGTGGTTGCTTGATGATGATGATGATGCAAGCGTTGTTTGTCTATCCCTGCCGCCTTATTACTAACGCTATTGTGGCTATTGTCACGCTGTTTTTTTTTGTTCTTGTTTTATTCTTCTTCTCTCTCCGATTTCGTTGTCTGTCGCGTAGAAGAAGCACACGTGGTGGTGGAACACGATGTCACTTAATCAGTTGCAGGATCTTCAATTTCAACTGAAGTTCGTCGCAAAACAGTTTGCAAAGAACTCCACGCGCTGTGAAAAGGAGCAAAAGCAGGAGATGCGGAAGTGTAAGCAGGCAATGGAGAAGGGAAACATGGACGGGGCCCGTATCTTCGCACAGAACAGCATCCGGAAGAAGAACGAATCCATTAATCACCTTCGCCTCGCGGCTCGCATGGACGCAGTCGTGTCAAGGCTGGATACCGCCATAAAGATGAAGATGGTGACGAAAGGCATGGGGCAAATGGTGAAGGGGATGGACACGGTGCTCCACTCAATGAACCCGGAGGCTATCTCGAGTCTCATGGACAAGTTTGAGAAACAGTTCGAGACAATGGACGTCACCTCGGAATACATGGAGAACGCCATCGGACAAACAACGGCGACAAGTATGCCGGAGGATGAGGTCAGCATGCTGATGGCGCAGGTGGCGGACGAACACGGCTTAGACATCAAACAGCACCTGGATGACAGGATTAGAATCAGCAAAACGAACCCCATGGCGCAAGCCTCTGTGGAACCAGTTGATAGTGAAAAAGACGATCTGGAGGAGCAGTTTGCCCGACTTCGAGGGAAGCAATGAAAACGGTGACCTCCTTTTTTTTTTCTCTTCTTTTTCATAGTAATGTTATTGTGAATTTTTTTTCTGTTTGTTAGCGTGTTTGCTCTTTTGTGGCGTTGTCTGTCCCTTCTTTTCTGCGTGAGAGGGCCGTTGTTGGATGTTCACCCACTGGTATGAAATGAGCACAAAAACTGAACGGAGGAACGAGGCAAGAAGGGCACTATAAACGTACATCTATATTACCATTACGGCATACATGCTGTCATTGTGTATTGATGTGTATTCGGTTACTTGTGCCTGCGGATTGTTTGTTGCCTGATTTTCACATTGACTTGAAACCTTGACGTGTAATGTATATGTGTCCGAAACTTATTGCAGGGGGTATACATGTTGTGCGAACACGTGCTATTTACGACAGTGTTTCTTTGATTGTACGTGTGCGTGTGTCTGTGCTTCCCAGTTACTTCCCCGGTTGGTGTCACGTGTGTCCACAGCCACGCATGCGGTCTTGAATTAACTTCATTCTTTGTCCAATTTCTGAGGCGAAGGCATAGTTGGGATCTTCATGACGCTGTTGAATCGTCCTGACAGAGCGATCTGTCAGGAACTCGCCAAGAGCAACTTTACCCTCTCTCAGGTTAAGGCTTACAATGAGCCGGAGTACTCCGGGTGGGCATCACGCAGGCGTCGCGTTACCAACATTCTTGTGTGGGAATTTAATTGGTTCGTGACAAGCGGCAACTACCTTCTGCGCTTTGCCCAGAAGAAGGCCTCGTGTCGTCCCATAGAAATTATATATCTTCCGGAGGCGGTGGTTCGGCGATGTTGTGTGGCGGAGAACTGCTGTGTGGGGCAACCGTTCGTCCTGGAACTCGTCCCGGTGTTACACCTTGTTCGTGGGAAAGAAACGTTGGTGCCAGTGGAGCCACAAGAAGTGCATCTCTCCTTTGAGAATGCGGAGGAGCTGTGTGACACGATCACGTTTCTCGCAAATATTAGTGCAAGGCGTGGGCGGACCGCCGCCATCACATTTGGGCCACCGGCTCAGGTGAGGCATCGCATCCATGTAAATGCCGCAAGCGAGAAGAAAGATTTCGGCCTGAATCTTCTTCCGCCCGCGGTGCGGAAATGGCTGCTGCATCAGGGCATAACCTCCGCCGCGCTGGCTGGAAATGAGGCGACGCCGATGAACTGTGCCAAGACTCTCTACCAATTACAGCTGCAGCGCGGAGTGGTGACAAATCCTCCACCCATTGCGAAAGGAATAATATCTGAAGAACAACAAGAAACTAGGAAAGGTGCTCCTTCTTTAGTGTCGTTGTTGGAGCCTCAGAGTGTGGTGCTGGGGCCACTGCTCTCTGATGGTGATCCAGAGTCTCTCTTCAGTGACTGGGAAAGGCTGGATTGTGGGTCACAAGGGGAAGTTTTCAAAGCCGTGCGGACATTAGATGGCGACAAAGTTGCAATCAAGCGCATCACCGTAGGTCGGGGTCAAAAGCTGCCGCCTTCCCTCGTGAAGGAGATATCACTGCTGAAGGCACTGCACCATCCCAATATTGTGACGCTGCATGACTGCTACCGAAAAGGCAGTCATTTATTTCTCGTCATGGAGTTGATGGACGGTGGTAAATTGACTGATTTGTTGTTTCCATTGGAGGGGGAAAGGGTAGTGTTCACCGAGGCACAGCTGGCAACGTTGATGCGAGAGGTGCTTCAGGCTCTTCTGTGTCTCCACAATTCCCGCTGTGTCCACCGCGACGTTAAGTCCGATAATATTCTTTTGTCTTTGCGTGGTGAAGTAAAGTTGGGGGACTTTGGCTTTGCCACGTTGCTCACGCTTCCGAGAGGCACGCGTAAGACCGTCGTTGGGACGCCGTACTGGATGGCTCCCGAAGTCGCAGGTGGAAGGGCGTACGATAGCAAAGCCGATGTGTGGAGCGCTGGAATCCTCTTTTTGGAGATGTGCGATGGACAACCACCGTTGATGGGCTTGAATCCTGTGCGAGCACTGCTTAAAATAAGCACTGGCCCACCACCCGCTATGAAAACCGCAAAACGTTGGTCGTCGCTGTGTAGAGCGTTTGCGTCGTTTCTCTTAGTAAAAGATCCTGCGCGGCGTCCCAGCGTTGATGACGCACTAAGGCATCCTTTCATCGTAAAAAAAGCCGAGCCGACGTGTCAGTTTCTGGTGACGATGTTGGAAATGGGAAAAGCCCGAATTGGCGACCCACCAAATGATGAGT